TTTTAGAGAAAAAATAAACCCTAACTTTTTTACACCTCTTTGATTTTTTTTGTTAAGAATGTCAAGTCTTGTCCAAAGTTAGATAATTTGACTTCACACAAGTTCACCTCCCCTTAGCTCTCTTCTCAGTTGAAGATTATATTCGCTCTACTAGTTTTTCTTACCCTGGCTTAGCTACCTTCAGGTGTAAGAGAAAACTTGGTCACCTTTCTACAACACTTTTCTAAAAGCTGGGCTGAGTTTTCCTCCTGGTTAGCAAGACAGGGTAAAATTATAGTCATATAGGTTGCTTCTGACCACAGTATGTCTTATTTTAAAAAGAAAGGAGTAATTTTCTACTCTTCCTTAAAAGAGACTGTGTTCACTGCATAAAAAGTATTACACTTGCTACTTGATTTCTTAAAATTTTAATTTGGTTTACCTGTAGCAATCTGACCATTTTACAGCCTGTTTCCTCATAATAGTTTTTTCTGAAAGCACATCTTGAGTAGCTACTTAAATCAAAAGTAAACTTTTCAAAATAATTTTTTAATTTTATTTTATTATGTTAATTACCATACAATACATCATTAGTTTTTGATGTAGTGTTCCATGATTCATTGTTTGCATATAACACCCAGTGCTCCATTCAATACGTGCCCTCCTTAATACCCATCACCAGGCAAACCCAGCCCCCCACCCCCCTCCCCTCTAGAACCCTCAGTTTCTTTCTCAGAGTCCATTTAACACAGTTATGGTATAGTAGGAGGTGGGAGTGTGCTCTCTCTCTCTAGAGGAGAAAAAATGATTTAACTCAAACTGTTAAATATTACACTTAGAAATTGTTCATCATTCTCAAATGTCTTCACAGTGCCTTTTCTCTAAGACCTAAAATTACTGGGTTCACAACATTAATGGTTCCAAACATTTCCAGGTTGCTTCAAGAATCATCATGTCTCTGAAGGCAAATTGAACTAATGCCCTCAAACAGCACATGTTTATTAACTTAAGTAACCATTGTAAATGAAGATAGAATCAGGCAATTTACTGCCAGAGTATTTAATGTTGAGCTGATAATGGCTCTCACATAATTGCTTATATAAAGATAGAGTAATTATTTTTATATGATATAAAAACAAGAATGATGATATTTCAATAAGAAGTATACCAACTCTTACGCTGAACTATTTTTTTTTCCATTCCAAATTACAGATTTGAAAAAACAAGTATCTGGGACATGTGATCTGATGTTTTACTAATAATTAAAAATACTTCATATGTGTTTAGGCTTCTTCAACAATACACACTTTCTTTTTTTACTCTCCACTGGATACTGTTTCTGCATTGAAAGCTGATTTCGGCATGTATTAACTCCATTGGTAGGAAACCAAGCCCTGATGAGGTAAATGCTCTATCCTATTGGGAGTCAGGTGAGGTATAGAACTCAAACTGAACACCTATAGCAAGATGATGGACCTGTCGGGACCAGGAGACAGGAGTTATTGGGAGAAAAAAACAGAAAATAATTACATCCCTTTTTAGATAAAGCATACACCATAGAAAGGTTTGGTCACTGTAGTAGCTAGCTGTTCATAATGAATCAAATCTCTTGAAAATGCATAGTAATGATTATCCATCTAACCATTCCTCCAGGCTTCTCTGATTCTCAACTAAATGTTTACATGTGTTGCTTTTTGTGTCTATTAAACAGCATGCTGAAGTCTCTGAAATAACTTTCTTTCACCTCTGTTTAGTTTGTGCCGTTCCGGGATTATATTGACAGAAGCGGAAACCACATACTGAGCATGGCTAGATTGGCCAAAGATGTCCTCGCTGAGATCCCTGAGCAGTTCCTCTCCTACATGAGGGCCCGCGGAATCAAGCCATCCCCTGCGCCTCCGCCCTACACCCCACCTACACATGTGTTACAGACTCAGATCTGACTGTGCTCCGAACGGCTCCCGTTAACTACACATCAGTTAGAACTGCTGAGTCAACGCTTTGCTCCTGGTGCTCTGTCATGAACCAGGGAATGAGATACTTTTCTCAGTTTGGTTTCAGCAGTACTGGTTAATATGCTTTCTTGGATCCAAAATTAATTCTCTTTCTAAACCAAAACTGTAAATATGGTTGTTGCATGAGCAACAGAAAAATTGTTTAAATGCTTGAAGCAAAATATGGATGTCTTTGAAACTTTCTTTTTTGCGGGGGGGGGGCGGGGGGGACAGAAACAGCTAATTTCCAATGTATTGTTGGGAAAAAGCACAAACTGTTTTTAACTCAAATATTGTCCTCGACTGCTGTGTGTATAGGAGAGCAGTCTCTCTGTATCAATGTTTACATGTTACTACTTTTTAAATTTCAATACTTTTATAACTGTTCTTAAGAATAAGAGTTTTGAATATTGAATCCTTTGTCTTCTAAATTGCAATAGCTATAATCACAAGAGCAATATCTCTTTGAATGACTGTCTGGACAAATACAATTGCAAATAAGGGAAGGGAGAGATGCTTCATATTTCTCAGTAAGTGAATTGTCTTATGAGGCCGCATCTGCTTAGTATTGAGTTCCTCCGCGTTGTTTGCCAAGTATGGGAGTTTAAGCTTAGCAGATGTGTATTCTGTACGAACATGCATTTTTCATGGAGCTTGGATTCTAAATTTAGACTGCAGCCAGTTTATGTTCTGTAATTCTCAGTAGAAATAATAAAAAGTCAAACATTGTGAACTGTAAAATGCACAGAAAATACTTTGTGTACAAAGCAGCATCTTTATATTATAATGCTATTTAGAAAGACTAAAACCCAGAATATTTAACTGTGAACAATGTAGCAGAGGTTTTAAACTTTTTATTCCATTATACCTTGTCTAGATATTTTAATTCAAAGGGATACTGGCTCTCTTGATTTGGTCTCCTTGTTATCATCTTTCCATGTTGCCATGCTGGTGCACAGGCTGGAAGTTTTTTGTGAAATTCCCAGTGAAATATACACAACCACGTGACTTAGTGCACAACACATTTGTGAGATAACCTACTCCTACATACTGAACTGCCTGTCCACAATGACTTGTAAAGAGTTTATGCATGTACAGTTTTTACAAGAATTACAGTTTTGTGACGTTGTGTCTAAATTAAAGCATTTCTTTAAAACAAATGGCCTTAAATTCTCACAGAATTCCTGGAAATGATTGTGAATTGCCTTCAAATAATAGAAAAGTGTATTTTTTTTTCTTTTGTGTCAACAATGTAACTGCTTTATAATATTTTTCCTTACTTATATCCTATTTACTACTTGGTTTATTTCTACTGTATGTTTGTTCTCTTTGTCCAAGTTGATTTAGGGTGACTTTTATAAGCATGAAACTATTTTATTGAAAAGAAAAATATATACACCCACATATCTAATAGTATCAATGTTATATAATTATGTAATAATAAATTGTCCATTTTTAAGTATGTATTAAAATCTTTAAAAGGATAACTACTTGCTCTGTAAATTTTATGTGTGAGTGACATGGAGTGTGATGATTTCCCTTACTGATCTTAAATATTTCCACCAGTATAGTTAATAACCTACTGATTTTTTTTTAACTACCTTCATTCATCAGTCCAAAGAAATAAAAATGAATAAGGTCAGTATTTTCTTTCTTGTCAAACATTATTTATTTTACTTTGAACTAATCAGAGAAAATGAAGGATATATACTTTCCTATCTAAGTAATAGTGTGCCCAAACCTAGTGGGAACAGATGGCTAAGAAACAATCTTTAGTTACAAACCTTGCCCTTTGTATGGCAGAGAGTAGTCACCAGAAATGCATGTGATGTCAGTTCTTTTTTTTTTTAAGGTTTTATTT